GACCACTAGTTGGCAGCAGTGAGACAGCTATTTGGCTCCTCTACCTCTTGAGCGCCAGAGAGTAAGGGTAGCATTAGCATTGTAAGTAAACATTAGCTTTTTTTTTTTCAGTAAGAGGTTTTTATTTAATAGAATTTTTGGACAAAAAAAAATCGCAATATATCACAATATATCGGGATATATCGTATAGTGATCCCTCTGTTATGATATGTATCGTATCGCCAAATTCTTGCCAATACACAGCCCTACTGGCTGCACACGGCGGCGGTCCGTCAAAATTAGATCCGATTCTATTTCTGCCAGACGCCGGAGTCAATTTTTAAAGATTATGTCGCACCAACAGGAAAAGGAACGAGCACAACATCCGTATTTTCAAAATAAGACACTATTCAGCAGGATAATTTGTCGGAATAATTGTCGAAATCGCAGCTATATTAATAAATATTTGGATATATTTCTAAACAAATGCTGTCAGAATGTATCGTTTTGTTTGGGAAGCAGATGGAAACATGTAGCATGAAGCTATGTGTGTACACACGATACACGTGGATTTTATTTTGAAATCAGAAGTTTCAGAAAGACGACAGCGAGACAGTTTCAACATTGATAACAAAAGACTTTATATCTTTGTTTTCAACTGTGTTTGGAGTTCGTCTTTCACAGAATTAATTATTCTTTGCGGTGACTTCCACACTTATCAATGAATTTATCGCGCGATCTGCTTCCTGCACGTCTGTCAGACCGGAGAGGAGCGGACGTAGTGTAAACTGGACTTGAAACGCACTGCTGCGACCTGTGCAGCACAGCGGAGCGGATACGGAACGCAAGTAGTGTAAATTAGGGGTAAGAGCGACTCCAGTTATTTTATGAAGCAAGAGGAAGACACAAACAGAATAAATTGTGCCGGTTTGAGGTGGGAAGCAGTTTTACATCAGCACGTCTGTTGTACAATTTTTTCCCGACAAACTCTGGTCCAGGTCAATTCATAACTATTTCTACGTACATAAATTACACAAACTTCTGTGAGCTTCGTAAATGGGGTGTGGTATATCACTAAATCAGTTTTTAAAATGGCCTCCAAACAATATTTTCATTTATTGCAACGATTTATCATCCAGCAAAATCATGAGGCCTGTTGGAAACAAACAAAAAAAGTCCATTTTAAAAGATACCTGAAGCAGAACCAGCTTCAGGATGAGGATCAACTGAGTGGTGTAGACAAGCACAAAACCTAGACAAATTTTAAATAAATAAATAGTTACCTGGCATATTTTCTCCCAGATTTCATCACATCCCGCCTTCTCTTGGAAGCTGAGCGCCAGATCATAATTTTCAGCCTCTGACCATACTATCAAGGTATCCTTTATTAAGGGGGAAAAAAACAAACATCTGAGACACTAAAATCAAATTTGTACTCAAACAGAGCACACCATGTCATGTACTGACCTGTTGTTTCTGGTAGGCTGTGTTTGGGTTGATTTTGGACTCCAACAGTAACGAACCTGTCAAGTTAAAGCAGAGATAAAACATAAAAACCGGCTTCAATGACTGTGTTATTAAGCATGACAAACATTAATGCAATGTAGTCACTTGCAAAAAGAAAAAAATTGTATAGGTCTTCTGGACGGGTTCTTCTCTAATGAAACGTTTCGTCTCTCCTCCAAGMGACTTCTTCAGTCTGAGAGTTTCAGGCAAAATTCAGGCTTTTAAGCMCTGCCTCCATGTGACTGATACTCACATCACATGGCTATTGTTGACTCCTAATTAACACCTATTGTTAACAGGGGGTGGAGTGATACTGGCTATAGCTGAGCTGTACGAGGGGGACAACTGAAAGCGGAGGCCTCCACCTCTGTTTAATGATGGACGGTCTTTCTTCACAAAAAATGGCTTCTTTTACTCCTCTCTCAAACCAACGTTCCCCAAACCCAGACCCAAACCAGTGGTTATTCCGTATGTTGCGAGTGTTTCGGAGAAACAGACGTTTATTTTCTAAACATGATGTCCCAGTGGCTTTCAAACCCCAAAACACATTACGGCAAAGGCTGGTTCACCCCAAAGATC